CTGGTATGTTAAAAAGCGCACTATAAATCAATAAATTATTATTATTATTATTATTATTATTATTATTAATTTCTCCTTCACATCCTCGCTTCTTCTCCCCCGTTTACGCCTCCCAAGCAAGTTGCGCTCCTGGCAGTTTGATGATATCTGCAAATGTGTGGTTGGAACCAACCGCTGCAGGAGGCAGGAAAAAAGCTCATGATGTAATAAGTTTTCCAAATCCCTTGCAAACTAAAGGATTTTGGCGTCAGCAGTTTAAAGTTTCAGCTAGAACACATGGAAAATGGAAAATCTTAAAAACGGTCTCAAAAGTGGCATCCTTCGACAATGTAAGAGTTTTGAAACGTATCAGTGTACCTGAACGAAAGCGCAAACGTTTGGAATATATCAAAAGGGAAGTTTTAAAAGCGCGTTTGTGTAGACAGGGCCGTAGGCTGTTGGATTATGATGCCATCTGGTTCCTTTTCCCTATCCTGTCCTTAAGAAAAAAAAAGTTAACAGAGGAACATTTGGCTTCTTCTTCCCCTAGCCGTCTTCCTACATAAGGTATTTTCAACGTTTCGCCATTAGTACACCGTGAGACAATAAACTTCGCTAGTTATTTATTGTAGTCAACGAGTTTATTACTGATCATTCGATCCAGTTGACCTTTCTTAACGTCAAATCCGGTAAAATCTAACTACACATAATTGCTTGTTCATGTCATCGTCACTACGACATTTGCATGATGACGCCAGTTGACTACAACTACCAGAATTCTTCGTTTGTTTGTTTGTTTGTTTGTTTTTCTCGTGCTTATTACAGCTATTGTTATTTTCACCCGCTGGGAATACAAAATTTAAATGAGAAAGGAAAAACAAACTGAATTCTAGTAGTCCTAATCAAATGCGCTATAGTGAACGTTGCCTATTACAGAGAATTTAAGCTATCACTTTATACAGCTACATCCTACCTAGTACACACAATAGCTTTCCAGCTAATCAGCAAAATCATTGGAATTATCCCATTTTTACTGAACTTAAGAAAATCACCAATATTAAAAAGTCACAATCCTGTTGGGCGACAGATTATGAATTGACAATTCGAGCTGTCTATTTGTTCTTGCTGGACTACGTTTGTGCAGTAACAGCAGAAATTAAAGCAAAAGAAACCACGGTGTTCAGAAGTCGTGCAACCCGATGCAAAGAATGGGTGTTTGCACCACTGAAAACTGGCCTCTTTATTCGAGCTGAAATCACTAACCCATTCGAAAACAGCTCAGTCCACATTCTATGTTAGTCGTAAAAAGTACAGGCAGTCAGTTTAACGGTTTTGCTTCCAAGCACTCTATCAATCTTGATGCTTGAATTACTGGCGGTTCCTTTTTGCGAAGTCGCCCCTTTTTCTTAAAACAAAAATGTTAATAAAACTAAGGCAACTAAGTGGCTCTAAGCTAGTCTATCCTAAACCCAAACTAATAGGAGTTTGTCAGAATTATTCTACGATGGAAGTAGTAGTAGTTCTACAATCCTTGCCTGAAACGCAGTTAGGTTAGTTCTCTACTTATTAACCTCAAGCTAAAGAGTACAAGAAAACAGTGGAAGAGTAACAAGAGTATTACTTGTCTATGGGATAGAGATGAAACAAAGCAAACTCTTAAAAGGGCTATGTCACGAGTGTTTAACAATTTAACAAGCCACAGGATATGTTTGTACCGATGGAAACTCAGAATAACGCTCCAGGTTTGTTCAAAACTACTCTGTTAGTGCAGTCAACTAAAAAGTAAGACTCTGCCTACGGATGGCCAATATGAAAACGGTTAAAACTTGCAAAATAGCTGGGCGCTGTTTCAGTTCTCCAGTCTAGTAACGATTATAAACCGATCATGCGTCGGCCTCATTTAAAAAATACCGTTTTGTCTTTCTGTTGGAGATCTAAGACCAATTGGGTATAAAAATGTTCTTTGTTTGGAATTAACCCGAATTTTGCTCCAAAGACCGAAAAATAGCCGTCACGTAGCCCCTTTAAGTGAAGAATATGTAAGGCCGATTTAGACGCTACGGTGTCGTAACCAGCTTCTCTCTTTCAACATTGCGTGGGCCTACGATTGTCGAGGAGTTTTAAAACATGTTTCAAAATCCCACGACATTTCAGAAGTCGCGCTCGACGAGTTGCTCGTTACATTTATACAAGGCATCAGTTGTATAGTTGTTTCTAAATTGGGTCCGAATTTGATTTCAATTTGTAGAATTTGTGTAATCAAAATGCTTGTTATTTACTATCGTAGGCTTGCAATCTGAGCCTGTCGCATTCATGGATGTTTGTGACGTCTATAAAATCGAATATCAAGACACATAAGGGAAATTATGATAAATATGACACTTTAAAGAAGTCTCATATGGTGATATGTAAAATCAGGAGGTATGAAAAAAGGAGGAAAAAAAAAACCAATAGAAATATCAGCCAAAATGTCTTGCCACCTACATGACCTTTAGCGGGCATAAATGTTCCAGCTTTCCGAAACGCATCTTTTATTATCATCACTGTTGATGTAAATGCCAGGACAGGTTCGGGTTCTGATGTCCTTGTCGTCTTCGCTCAGCCAGTATCCTCTCCCGTCCTTTAGAGAGTATACTATGAAGACGTTGTCATCCTTCTGTAGTGGCTTTCCTCGACAACCCACTCTTATGTCGCTCGAACACCTGCCTTGACGTTCGGGTGAAAAAATCCAGAACATCTCTCCGCGACAGGACTTTGTATCTCTGAAATCCCACCTGCCGTAACCGGGACAACTTCTCGTCGGACAAACACCCCCACTACCCCAGCAACTCAGCCAGTGGCCCGCACCGTAATAAAGTCCGATTGAGTCACCATATCTGACAGGTTCCCCAGGACGGTAATGTGTCAAGTACAGTCTGAATCTTTCACTGCTGCAGGAATTCCAATCGCTGCCTGTCATTTGACTACCAGGACAACCTCGAAGTTTGCAACGATCAACACCACAGTTGACAGTGCAATA